CGCCAAGTTTTTGGTCCGTTTAAACAATATTTTTTAAAAAATTATATAAAATCTTAAACAATAAGAGATTTATTTGTAATGGGCTTTTTAATATTTTTTATAGCTGTGAATATTTATTTTTACATTTTTCCATCTTTTCTTTTAAATTTTAAAAATACCTTTGAACACAAATCGATTTTTTAAAATCTATTTTTTTACTAATTTTTAACTTCATTTGGATTTGCTTTGTTTAATCATGCTATAAGTATTTTTTATAGATTTTTTTGTAGTTTTATTTTTTAACACTTTTTTGACCGGTTAGAACTTGTCCAGTTAGTCCAGTTTAACCGACCGGTTTATGGGTTCCTCATAATCGGCCTTTGGCCGGTTTTTGAGGCGGGTTCAATTTTTCAAACACTGGTTTAAAGAATATATGGTTTATTTGCCCCCAAGGTTCTTTAAAATCCTACGAGGGGGGCAATCAGATTCATCAGAAACCCCAATTCCCATGGTTTTTTTGAATTAGTTGTATACTTGTGTGGGTAGATAAACAGGCTCATAGGCACCGGAAACTTGACTTAATGCAGCAAATGGGCCAAGCCAGTCTGGTCAGCCATGGGAAAGTACCTTGGGGCTCGAGTGGGCCCAATTCCAGGGCCCGCATAATTTTAAGGCTATTTTAGGGTCTAGGTTATTGGGCCTTGAAGGTTGTTCGCAATGGGCTCCACGGCCTAGCTCATCTCAGCCCATTGAATTTAGGCTAAATAGTTGAGCCAGTGTTGAAGCATATTAGGGGTTAATATTTGACAAAAAATTTTAAAATAAAAAGATACGGACTTCCTCCGCCATCAGTGAAACTAAGGCTTTTCCTTTCTATCCAAGGTTAAACTTTTTTTGGTGTTCTTGTTTCATGGAAGACCGTCTTTGACGCACTTGGTGAAGCCGCGGCTTTCATAGGTTAACATGGAAGCTACGGCATCCCTAAATCATGTCATTGTGACATTATTTTGAAAGTTGCGAGAAGCCATTGCTTCCAAAATAACACCGCAGCATTAAATTTAAAATAGGTAACCCCTTCCCCTTCTCTTTCAAAGTGCCCAATATAAAGTAATTGATTTTGGATGAGTAAATGATATATTGATAAATTAAAAGGTAAAAAAAACTCATACAAATAAATTAAAAGACTTAGAAACATGAAAATAGGTGCCATCAAAATCATTGTCCCAATGTGTAGACAGTTGAAGGGAATCTTTTTTTGGTGACTCGGTGAATTCAAGTCGAGGTCGAGATCGGTTAGATTTGTCTTGAATTCTAAACAAACTTGTGACTGATTTGGGTTCCCCATTTTCTGGGGATACAATTCCTTAATTTTGAGAAACTAATATCTTCCCATGTGAAAGCTTAATACAAAGTAGAGCTTATGGACTTGAGTGTATCTCATGTTATAGGTTACTTGCGAGTTAAGTTAGGGTTCTTTGAAATAGTGTGTATAAGAATGTATGTGACCTATGCGATGCGCTATTTGGGCCACTAATGGGAAAGATGGGTTCCCTTCTATGGAGAGGCAAGGGCCTCTAGCACAAATAAGGTGGCCCTTTGAAAAAGCTTCTAGAGAGAATTTTGTGTAACATCGCATGAAGAAAGTTGCTATATATTAGAGTGAAGCGATTCTCATGAAGAGTTAAAGTTGCATCCTTTTTATACAGAGAAAGTCAGTTTCACATTGCTTTCACGTCTCTATTTGGTAGTGGTTGGTAGTAGTTACCCAAAAAAAAGCCAATGTTGATTAACGTGCGATGTTAGTCGAAAGAGTAGTAAAAAAGGTTGTCTAGCTAGGTAGAGATAGATCTATGTTTCCAAAATATGTGATGTAATGCTCATCAATATACTAGACTTCCATTTGCCATACCAGTGAATGTTCTTTGTGGTGAACCACATATCCATTGTGTTGTTTTGGTATGCATACCTTTAAGTTTTATTTCCATGCCTGTAATATAGCGTGCACTCACTTATTTCTTTTCTCGTTGGTTATGTACATGATCCCAGTACGATTCCGTTACTTAGAATTCCTATTTTTGAATTGACATCATTAAAACCCCTCAAGTCTTCTACATCGACTTCCCCATGGGTATTCACCTTAACAATATATTAATCAAGTTCAAGTACATGTTAAACTTATATTATGGAACCGGCTCTATCAGAATTTCCATAATACTCCTCATGGTGTCAATCTCTAACAATAAGATATCACACTCAACTATTATTTCACTATAAACTGGTACTTGACATAAATATGCTTTGTCATTGCATGATAGAAGTGGTCCTTCTTTTTTTGGTATTTGATATAGTTTTTCATCAAATATATTGTGCTCTAAGTATCACAATGGACAACAGTCCAACCTTGCTATGAGTGTAGATCACTCACAAGTTCTCCAAGCCAACTAGCTTCTTTCACCGCTTCATAATAGCCTTGAACATTGCTTCAATTGTAGACAAGAAAACAATGGGCTATAGCATAAACCTCCAAAATAATCAAAGTTTTAAGAAGCATAAACACATCATATATGGTGAAAATCACCTCCAAGAATCGCATCCACGTAACCAACAACCTTGTCAATGTACCAACTATTGGTGTTAAGCACCAAGCGCACATTTGATGTACCCCTTAGGTGATACATGATCATTTCACAACATCCTAATGCTTCTTTTGTGGGTTAGTCATGTATTTGCTAACCACACTAACAACGTGAGAAATATTTAGACGAGTGCAAACCCTCGTGTACCTGAGGGTTCCAACTATGCTCGCATAAGGAAAATGAAGCATGCTTTCCCGTTAGCATTTGTATTAGGAGATGTAGGTACCCCTTGGAAATTTTGGTTAATAGAATTCCTAGAAGCCTCTGTTCTGAGTCCCAAGGACGACACTAAGCTTAGTTTTATCCTATGACAAAACTTAATCCCCTTAGTTTTGTCCTAAAAATACCCAAAACCTAGCCTAAGTTATAGTAGATCTCAATAGCTTTGTAATGGTCAAAGAATAATTAAAATCTGACCTACTATTACAACTAAATATTGACTTTGTCAAGTCGTCTGAGAAAAGCTATATATGACTTTGTCAAAGTTGTGGTAACTATTTTATTTGAATTCCCTTCTTCAATGGGATTCTATGTACACCCTTGTCTATTTATACGCTTCTTCTCTGAATAAAAAATATACTCAATACAGAGTTTTGAGTATAGTAGATCTCAATAGTTTTGAGTATAGTATACTCTCTCTCTCCCTCTCTCTCTCTCTCTCTCATTGACGTTGAAACTCTTTATAGAGAGAGAGTTGTCTTCTACTACTGCAACAGTCAAGCACCGTGGTCCCGGAGCTCTACCGCAAGCTCCAACAACTCGCAACCCATTGTGTTGTTGCATACATTCTAGCAAAATGTCTGTCTCCTTCTGAGTTGAGCCTCTACCATTGGTATGGCTTTTGGGTTGCATCTAAAACCCATGCATCAGACAACACTCGTTTGTTGTCATTCCCACTGACAACCACAAGGTACCGCTGGAAGACCAGAACCATTGCGTGGCCATAACGGGGTCTCGAGCTTAGTGAACCACCACCCTATGCTACCAAGAATTGGCACTTGTGATATCGAGCACATAGATATCATCAGTGAAATGCCCTGCTAGCTCTATCCCTCCTTGATCTCTCGCTGATCCCTAATCATGTGACATCTCAGCCATCAGCACCAACTCCCTAATCTTGTGCCATCTCCGCTCCTTCCTCCTCCCCGCCATCCCCATTTTCACCTCCACCATCAGCGGTAGTCCAGCCCGCATCTCCGCCAGCCCTCTCTCAGCTATCCACCCACCTGCAACCTTCTACCCATATGCTACCTCCCACTTTCTCTCTCTACAAAACAAAAACAAACAACACAACAACGACTCTCTCTCCCTATTCTTCGCTACTCTCTTCCTCTCTCTCTCTCTCCCACTATTGTCACCACTGCTCTACACCACGAGGTGGAGAAATTGACCTTTTTAGTTCATTTGCTATTGAATAACACTTCTGTAAAGACAAGTGTCGAGGAGACAGTGCGGATTAAGGGTGGAGAAGTAGAAAGTGAAAGTAAGGAGGACGATGATAGTAAAAGAGAAGAAGACAATGATGACGGAGAAGAGGATGATGATGGAGAAGATGATGTTGAAGGCAATGATGATGCTGATAGCGAGCATGAAAATGAGAGAAAAACAAAGAAAAAAACTAATCACTTTCTAGTGCCGACGTTGCAAGAGGAATCGATGTGGAATTTGTGATCGCAGAGAGATAGGAATGCCGATGAGGAACTCGATGTGAGGGAAAAGAGTGTTCTTAGTTCACCAAAAAAGGCGTTGAGGTGGAGAAATTGACCTTTTTAGTTTTTTTTATTGGATATGGATACTTGAAACAAATATTAAATAAAGAATATGGTTGATATTGATCGACATTCATATGTATTTTTTTATTTTATCTGTATGTTTGAAACAAATGTTACATAAATGATATGGTTGGTATATATTTTGATGTTGAGTTTGATGTGTTTTTGGATTTTATATGATTGTTTGAAACATATGTTAAATCAAAGGTATGTTAAGTAAATGAGATATCTCTCTTTATATGCCTTTCAGTGAATTTTGATCATGTTTCTCTTGATCTTTTTCATATGGGTTTTTTATCTGGATATATGATAATTTTGTCAATGATCATCTTTATCTTGATCTTTTGCATATGGGTTTTTGATCTAGATATATGATGACTTTGTCAATGCTTTGTTTCAATCATGAGGAAGTCATCAACTTGGAGATTGTATATTTTTATGACAATGTAACTTGGTTACCTGATGCAGCTGCTTTCATGCAATGCTAGTTGTTGCTTAGGTGATAAACTGTGAATATAGCAAAGAGAAGTGTAACTCCCTTAACAAAACATGTAGGATATCAAGCATAGAATGTAAAAGCTACAAATTTATACTTCGCAGATTAACACCTGAATTCGCAAAAATTCCAATAAATGACCAGGCTTAAGGAGAAGGATTTAGCAATCAAATCCATCTGCCAGTTAAAAACAGTGTCACCACCACCTAAAAAAAACACGTAACTCCAGTTCTCCCTATTATTAGCTAACATATAACACCACCAAAGGCAAAAAGACAAAAAAAAAAAACGGAAGTTGAGGGACAGCGCTTTGGCAGTACACGTTTAGGAAACAATGCGCTCTGGCAGCGTCAAAGGGCACTCCGACAATACACGCTTTGGAGCCACAGCGCTCCGGCAATCGCATAGGGTGCTCCGGCACTAAAGACGAAGCGCTCCGGAAGTCAACATTCTAAAGACAATGCGCTCTGGCAGTCTCAAATGGCACTTCGACAATACATGCTCTGAAGCCACAGCGCTCCGACAGTTGCATAGGCCGCTCCGGCACTGAAGATGAAGCGCTCCGGCAGTAGCAGAAGGCGCTCCGATAGTCAACGTTCTAGAGACAATGTGCTCATGCAGTCCCAAAGGGTGCTCCGGGAATACATGCTCTGGAACCACAACGTTTCGACAATTGCATAGGGCGCTTCGGCACTGAAGACACAACGCTCCGGCAGTACACATTCTGGAGAGAATGCGCTCTGGCAGTCCCAAAGGGCACTTTGGCAATACATGCTCTGGAGCCACAGCGCTCCAGTAATTGCATAGGGCACTCCGACGCTGAAGACACAGCGCTCCGACAGTAGCAGAAGGCGCTTTAGCAGTACACATTCTGGAGACAATGCGCTCCGACAGTCTCAAAGGGCGCTCCAGTAATACATGCTCTGGAGCTACAACGCTCCGGCTGTTGCATAGGGCACTCTGGCACTTGAGACAGTGCTCGGGCACTCGAGACACATGAGCTCCGACTATGCATGTTCTAGAGACGACAGTCCTTCAGCATTTGCAAAACGCACTCCGACAATGCTTGTTTTGGAGACGAGGCGCTTCGGCAATTGAATAGGGCGCTTCAGCGATACTTGTCTTAGAATCACAACACTCTGGTTGTATCCGGAGGCGCTCCGACAGTATATGTTCTAGACAGTGCACTCCAACAGTTGCATATCGTGCTCTGGCAATGTGTTACTTGGGTCCAATAGTCAGCGCTAATTGATTTTTTTTTGGTACGGGAAGGGTATTTTTGTCTGAAAAAGAAACAATTACATTAGAGGAGTTTTTGCATAGAAAGTTTATTGTGCGAAAAAAAGTGAGAAAAGGTTTGAATGGGGGTAAGTTGCATAGATAGTGTATTTGGGGGGGTTTTTGTAATTTTCCCTAAAAAACGACACTCAAAATTGAGAGTTTTTTTTTTTTGGTGAGTTAGTGAGGAGAAGGCCTCTACCCTAATAGAATTTAAGCCTAGGACGTAGCGCTGCAAATCATCTAGCGCTAACAAATTAAGCCCGGGTTCTATTCCTAAAATTTAGAGACATTAGTTTTCATAGAACTAACTATAAATGTGCATACATCTTAGCATTTATGATAAAAACCCAAAACCAGGGCATGTCCAATAAATAGATAAGCATGGTATCTCACAGCATAAGACTGATCTCCATGGCAAGCAAACATATCATGTTAATCGATGGCATATAACAATTAAACGAAGTCACACGTCTGCTTCTCTCCCAACCCTTTCCAGACTACAACATGCCAAAAGGCCGGTACCTTATCATTAAGGCTGCCAAGTATCCAAACCAGGACCTTGGGCATGCCCAGGTATCAGGCTGGGTGCCTACACATTGAAAACTAGCATAACAAAGGTACTCTCTCTCTAAGCCGCAAAATCAAAACCGAAAGTTCTATGTTGAAATCTGGTTCCAAACTCTAAGATACAGCTTTGCGGCTTGGATCTTCAATATTTAATTTTTTTGACATTCTAATCAAGATATAGACTCAGACATCCCCACTCCAATTAGGGGCCTCAAACATTTGGTTGATGTTGTATGTTGAGATTTAGAATAACCAATTGCCAACTAAGCTCACTTGCACCATTTACTTATGATAACTTCTGTAGTCGCTGTCCCCTTAAGCCATTCCAAAATGCACGAGCGCTCACCGCCTTCTTTCCGGGAAGCTGAACTTCCAACACCTGCCAATATTAACCATCAACTATCTCTCTCTCTCTC